CTTTTCTGTTGTGGATCTTTAGCTTCTTTAATGCTATTCTTTGAGTCTTTTGGAGTTTGCTTTGGGGCTCGGTTCTGCTTTGTTTCATTACCCGTTGATATTATTATTCTGTTTGTTGTAGTTATAAGATGGTCTTTTGGTGCAATGCATTCAATTGTTGTGTGGGAATGTATGACATGCCTGAGAATCTGAATATTCATGCCTGCTTCACATTTGAATAATGGTTAGGTATTTTTGAAGAGCTCTTCTATATTGATTGGTAGAAAACATGTGTAATCCCTCATGACAGATCTTGGTACCTTGGTATGGTCCTATAAGCAATTGTAAGGTTATTATTTTTATGTTATCTTTACACCTAAATTGCTTTGCATTGCTCCATGACTTGGCAAGGATTCGAAGGGCTCTGTGAGAGGGAGTAAAGTATTATGCATCTGAAAGTATCAAAGATTCATATATGCTGGGATGGGGTTCATTCATGTTTCGGGTAGGGATTAATGAGGTTCATTCATTGCAGCACTTGGTTTTCTGGGATGGGGTTCATTCATTTTTCGGTAGGGAATAATGGGGTTCATTCATGGCAGCACTTGGTTTGCTGGGATGGGGTTCATTCATGGCAGATTCCTTATATGAGGTTCATTCATAGCAGCACCTATTTTTTTTATTTATGCTGCTATTTTTTTTTCGGGTAGGGAGTAATGTATGAATCAAAGCATTGTATTTTCCTCTTTGGTACTATAATAAAGTTGTTGGCCTCCTTTGCCGTGGATGTAGGTCATATTGACCGAACCACGTTAAATATTGTGTCATTTTTTCATTTTTATGCTTCCTTAATTTTTCTGCTTTTATTGAATATGATACAACACCCATGAATGATTCTCATGTCCTAACTCCTAAATTATGTCATTGTTGTGTTTCATTTGTTTGTTTTATCGTAGTTTTAACATGGCTGGTAAGGCAAGAGAACATGGTTCACCAGCACTCTGGGAAAAAGATATCAAAATGTTGTTTTGCGACCTTTGTATAAAAGAAATAGAACTGTGCAATAGACCAACAACGTTTTTCAATAAAGAAGGTTGGCTGAATATAATTAAAAAAATTTAAGGACTCCATGGGACGGGAGTACGACAAGCTACAAATGAAAAACAAATGGGATCAAATTAAAAAAAGATTGAAAAATTTGGAAGGATTTAAAACGTGGTTCAACTGGTTTGGGTTGGGATCCGATAAAGCGTACCATAGATGCCTCAGAAGATTGGTGGGCAGAAAGGATCGCGGTTAGTAATTGTAATTGTTGATAATTTTAAGAATATATTTCTATTTCAATATGTAGAACTGATTTAGGTTTTTTCTCTAGGTGGTGCCTGCAGCAAAAAAATATAAAACTTGTGGGATTGAACCCGATTTGGAGGAGAAGTTAGACCTGATGTTTTGGGGTGTCGTCGCCACAAGAAAATATGCATGCACTCTAAGCGAGGTAGGCTTTGGTGAAACACAAGACAATGTTCCTGTCAGCTTTTCAGATGATTCACCTGATTTCCCAAGTCCAGGTCCAACTGAGATTCAATCCACGAACCACTCGAAGGGATCTAGGCTCGAGGGTAAAAAAAAGGGTGGAGCTGCTTCTATCTGAAACCAAATATCGTGCCTTATGGATTCTTCCAACGATGCCCCACATAAAGTGCAGAAAACGTCAATTAATGAGGTTGTGGCAATTTTAGAACAGGATCCGAGTATTGCAGCGGATGATGAGCTTTATTACTTTGCTGTTGAGCTGCTTCAAGATTCGGTGCATAGAGATTTTTTCACAGCAATTGACAAAGACCGAAGGGTGTCGTATCTACGACATTTTTATGAGTGCAGGAAAATCTGAATGGAGATCTTTAGTATTTACTTTGTGCTTATCTAAACAGTTTATGAGAAGACCTGGTTATTTGAACTGTTGTTGATTGAGACCTTTCATTTTAATTTGTTTTTTAGATCTAACTATCTTTATGAAAACTGCGAAAATCTAATTTGTTGGTTAAAATTTCTTAGAGCTCCATTACTCCGGTCTATATTGAATGCTTGTGTTATTACTTGTCATAGGTTAAATAATAGGCTTCTTTTTGTGGTGATGATTAGCTTAATAATTTAGTTTTCTTTGTCAAAATGTGTCCAGTATTCATCATTATGGACCCAAACTAAGTACGTCGTAGATGGAGAAACATAGCTATCAACTTGCTTGTAGAGTACTACAACACATACATTGACCGTTCTCCATGATTGACCGTTCTCCGACCGTTCTCCATGTTACACATCATCACATTTTGGAGACAAATGGATTGCAGAAATGCTTGCCGGACATCCCACAAGATTTCACAACAAGTTTCACATGATACAGGATGTTTTTACAGATCTTTTATCAGAACTCATTGGATCTCATGGCCTTCACGGGTCTATGAGGATGACTGATCGAGAGGTATTGGCGATTACTCTGTATATATTATCACAGAACGAGTCAATGCGTGGTGCGATGGAATGCTTCCAACACTCATCAGAGACCATTAGCAGGTACTTCTCAGTGGGTTTGAGTGCTTTGGTGAGCCTCGCCAAACAAGTCATAAAGCCAACAGACCCAACGTTTTCACAAACTCCTGCGGAGATTCGCCACGATCGACGCTATATGTCATTCTTTAAGGTACATATTTAATCTTATTTTACTGAAATTTAAGATGAAAGCATGACATTAATTAATGAATTAGTAACGACACATGTTTAGGATTGCATCAGTACGATAGATGGAACACATATTGATGCATGAGTGTCAAATGATGAGAAAGTTGCATTTATCGGACGTAGTGGAACCCCAACCCAAAATGTCATGGGAGGCCGTGGCTTCAATATGTGTTTCACATTTATTATGCCAGGTTGGGAGGGTAGTGCACATGACAGTAGAATTTTCAAGAGTGCAACACGGAATCCGCATTATAGTTTTCCTCATCCTCCTCAAGGTATGTTGCATCTGGGAAAATATTTATTGTATTTTGTTTAAATGTGAAAATGAAGGTTAAACACGTTAAAGGAAAGTATTATTTGGTGGATGCCGGTTATCCGTTGCAGCGAGGGTATCTCAAACCATATCCTGATACCAGATATCATATACCTAATTTTGAACGAGCAAGTAATATAACACAAACCAGAAAGGAGGTATTCAACAAAGGACATTCCTCTTTGCGAGGCGTCATCGAGAGGACATTTGGTGTTTGGAAGAAGAAATGGGTGATTTTACGTGATATGCCTCCTTACCCATTTCCAAAACAGGTTCAGATTGTGATAGCGACAATGATAATACACAATTATATTAGGCGGCACCCGTCTCGATATGACGTTGATTTCCTCACTGCCGAAGCGAACCAACAGGAATTAGTTGAAGACCCATCTGAAAATCAAATTGGTAGTTCTATGATACGAGATGACAGCGAACAATCAACCATTTGTACTAAGGAAGGGGAAGGTGCGACTGAAATAGCGGCAATTTGAGAACAAATTACTAATATGTTGGTTAATATGTGACTGATTTTCAATTTGTTAGAAAGACAAAATATTTGTAACTTACGAGTGTTTCGTAGTAGAAGTTACCTTATTGAGACTGGTGATGTAATAAATAACTTTATAGATGGTTATCAAAAGAGCATTTTACGGATTATAATGCTCTATATTATTTGCATTTAGCTGGAAGCTATTTAGATTGTCATGCACTATATGATGTTGAAAAATTGTGTTATCCAAGAAAATATGTAATTTTAGGTGTCTAATATGTTGAGACATGAATTATGTGGTATTTATGTAAATACTCTAAATTATATCAACTTTTAAAATATTCAGTATGGAGAATTAATTTTATGCTTCTAAAAAATATATTTCTCAATTTTTATATGTACAGACGAATAAATATCTGTAAACATTGATATATAGATAAATATTAATTTAAAACCTCTATGTTTTCAAAATTACAAATTTTTTTAATAATTTCTATAAAAACAAATATTAAAAACAATATATTTCATTTAGTTAATTAACAAATAATATTTTTTTAATATTTATGTATATTAAACCCATATTTATACAAATAAATCATAAATTTTAAACAATTTTAACAAACAGGGGCAGTTCAGTCATTTTTACATGAAACAACTGGCTCACAGCATTTTTCATGCAGCTACACCAAACAGACAGTCAGCTTCCCCACATCTACTTTCCTACAGCTGCTTTCTGGGGCAGCGTAGCTGTAGCTGAAAAGCTGAGAATCTGCAGCTGCGCCAAACAGACCCTACAGCTAATCCTCATCAGAGGGGATTCTGATAAGAACCACAGAATTCTATTGAGCCCATTACCCGTATTTCTTGCCCGAGTAAGATAGAACATCTGTTCAGAAATGATAGTGTATAAAAAGGTCTCTCTAAATCATGATTGTTAATATGAGGAGGGATACATTCTCCCTCTTCAAAGATGTTGATGATGCAGCTATCTAGAATACAACTGGATGGCATTATGTCTCAAGTCATCAATCATTTGATGATCTATATAATCACTGTAGGCATCAGATCCACTTTTTCATGTTGTAAGATCCCTGGAGTGCTTCCATCTTTGTCTTTAGCATAATTATAGCAACATCCATATTGGATATTTACTCATCCTTTGCCACGTATCCAATTATTTTGTTCAGAGTATGTTCTCCTTTTCAAATGTCCATCTCATCCACGATCATGCACTTCCATCATATGTTTGACGATAGTCGCTTGTTCTTCTTCATCAAAGATTATAGTGACCAACTAAATACCTTCAAGTATGTTGATTGTAAGGGCATCAACCTATTTAAATTGTTTAGAATAGTGTCATGTGATAGTCTGAATGCGCTTCAGCTCTTCTTTAGAAATAATTTGTCTGTCAGTTGGTTCATCTGATGTTGTGAAGTCAAGAACCAATACATACGGACTTAGGGAGAAGACGTTCCTTTTTATTGCTTCTTTTTCTTTAGGATCCAAATTTTTAAATCTTAAAATAGATTGTACCTCATCGGTTGTATACTCAAGAATTGTAAATTGAAATTCTTTGCCATCTTCGTCCATGGGACCCATGTCTTATCTTTCATTTTCTTCAACTCTTTTAAGTCATTTGTTACAGGTTTGCATTTAACTGTGAGTCAATCCTAATGTTATTTTATTGACTCTAGCAGTGGATGCTTTCACAATTCCTTTTGCTGCTGCAGCAAACACCACTGATTTCAGTGTTCCAGTGTCAAATTTTTTTTATGTTCTGTCAGTTTCAATTTTTCCTTAGTGACATTTCGTTGTCAGGTTTTGAATTGCATCACAGGTGATTTTCTATCTGCTTCTTATTTATTGACAATGGATAGCGGTGGTCCATTATACAATAATTCAACTTGTGTCAGATGAAAATCAAAATGGATTCTTTATCCTTGGTCGATGGATCAGTGATCCAATGCCAACCATACACAGCTTCGAAAAGTGAAAAAAAAGTCTGTTGTTTGACATTTTCCCTGCAATTAGTAGGTTAATGTAAACATGTCAGATCTGGTTTTAGGTCAATTATTATGAATGGCAAGAAATTTTGTTTGAGGATTCATTCAATTTGTTTTATGAAGGCATGCTCACAAGCACCTGTTTAATGAGCAAGAAGGAAATCTCAAAGAGACAACATTGAAAGAAAATCAAATTCATTTTATTATTATTTTCTCAATTTACAGACAAGTCATTGTTTTCAAGCTTAATAACATTTTTTTAAATACTGCTCATTGATTGGGGGTAAATCTTCTTGATAATCGACCAACTCACAGAATCCTCACAAATATGTCTTTTCAACTACATAAAGACCCTCATATATTGATTTGAATTTTCCACTTACTTTTCAATGAGAGAGGATAGTTCTTCATAGTAATTAGACCAAAAACCAGATTTGAAATGTCCAAGGGAGGACCAATTTGTCGTGAGCCAGTACAATTTTTGCTTGATATAGTTCAAGATTCTTTTGAGCTTGCAGTCGTTTGCCTTCCAAACTCTCAAGTTTTTCAAGTTGTTGTTTTGCATTTTCTTCTTCAGTGATTTTGTTTGCAACTGCAATACTGAAAGAAGGAATTTACATTTCAAGTGGAAGTACAGCCTCAGAACCACATAGCAAAGCAAAGAGTGTTGACCGTGTTAGTGTTTGGTATGTAGTACGATAGGCCCATAGAACTTCTAGCAATCGTTCATGTCATTATCTCGGGCTATTATTCAATGTCTTTTTCAAAATTTGGACTAGTGTTTTGTTATAAGCCTCGAAAAAAACCATTAGCTTTAGGGTGGTAAATTGTCAAATATCTCCAATCTATTCCTTGTTTTTGGATGAAGTTCTTCATTTTTGTATTTTTGAAGGCTATTCTGTTGTCTGATATAACCCAACGAGGAATTCAAAATTAGTAGACAATGCGCATTTTGATAAGAGGGAGAACTTGTTCTACTTTGACATATATGAGTGGTACTGCCTCTGCCCATTTGGAGAAGTAATCTGTAGCTGCTATAATGAATCGATGTCCTTTAGATGATGGAGGGTGGGTCTATAGGGCCACTATGTCCGTACCCCAATATTCAAATGGCCAAGATGCAATTGGCAGGTGTAATACATTTGGCAGTTAATGTAAGAACACTCAATGTACTTGACATTGATGACATTTCTTTGCAGTTTTGAAACAGTCAATCAACATCGTCGGCCAATAGTATCCCATTCTTTTTATTTTCATCTTCATCTTGATTTTTGGTTTAGATTGGTCTTCACCACCTAGACGTGAATGAACTTCTTTAATAATTTCTCAAGCCTCATATTGGTTTAAACATCTTAACCACATTTGATCGATAGATCGTCGGTAAAGAACATCGTTTACTAGAGCGTAAGACAATGCTCTTTGTTTAATTTGGGCTGTAAGGGAACCATTTTTAGCTAATCGTTCGGTTTGCAGATAATGAATAATTAGTTATTGCCAACCATCTTTTTATTTATCGATTGTTGTCGTCATTGTCTCTTCAATAATTTTGTTAAAATTTTCATTGTCAATTTGGGAGAGAATTCATCGTCCTCTTATGGAAATTGGAACATCATCCTCTTCTGAACAAGTGAATTCTTTTGCTAGTTTAGATAAAGCTTTTGCTAGATAGTTTTCTCATCTCTAGATTTGGAAAAACATTGCATTTTAGATTTTTTAAAGCAATTTTAGAGTGTAATAGAAATATTGTTCAAGTCACGGTTTCAAAGTTCTGTATTTTCCCTCATTTTAATTGATGTCAATTGAGAGTCTCCATAGATGTTGATATCTTTTATTTTATTTGTATCGTCAGTTCTAAACTGGTCATTAGCACTTCATATTTAGCTTCATTATTAGTGCACGGTTCATGCAGATGACAGGAAAATGACATCATTGCTTATTCTGGAGTGAGGAGAAATAATCCTAATCTAGCTTTGCTAGGTATAACTGTTTGTCTGTTTTTGTCTTTCTGAGCAAATGAAGCTCCGTCAAATATAATTCCCATTTTTGTCTGTCAGAATTTCTTATTTTTCAATACTTAATCGGGCAAATCATCTTTAAGAGGAGATTCAGCTGGTATTGAGTGTGTAGCTAAAAATTCTACTAAAATTTGTCCTTTGACAACACGTAGCGATACAAATGTTATGTCGAATTGAAGCAATATCATTGGCCACCTTGCCAATCTTCCATAAAATTTTGGTCGAATTATTATATATAGCAAAGGGTTAAATCTTGATATAAGAGTTACCTTATGAAATAACACATAATGTCTTAACTTTTAAACTACGAAGATCAAGGCTAAACAATGCTTCTCAACTGCAAGATATTTTATTTCAGCTGGGATCAAACAATGACTTTAGTAGTACAATCCATTTTTTTAACCCTCATCATTAACTTGAGCCAGTAATGCTCTGAGGGAGTTGTCTAATGCCACAGTATAGAGAACTAAAGGTCTCCCTAATATAGGGGCTACTAAAATAGGAGGTGTTGTCAAATATTGTTTGATGTTTTCAAAGGCGTGTTGGCATTTTCATTCTCACAAAAATTTGGTAACTTTTCTGGTCAAGACGGTGAGAGTTTGACACCTACCTAAAAGATTGGAAATTAAAAGTCGGATATATGCTAGTTTTCCTTGGAAAGATTGTAGTTGGGTTAAGTTTTTTGGGAGAGGCATGATCAAAATAGCTTCAATTTTGAGGGAGTCAATTTCGATCCCACGATGTCGAACAACAAATCGTAAAAAATTTCATGAGGTGACACCAAAGGTGCACTTTAAAGGATTCATTTTAAGATTAAATTATTGTAACCGTTTAAAGATGATTCTCAAAATTCATACATGATCATCTTTTTGTTTATTATTGGCAATTAAGTCATCTACGTAACATTCAACTTAATTGTGGATCAGTTCGTCAAAGATTTGTGTCATGGCCCTTTGAAAGGTAGCACCAACATTCTTCTATCTGAACGTCATTACTTTGTAGAAGTATATTCAGATGGGTGTTTTGAAAGCATTATTTGGTTCATCTTCTAGAGTCATTTTGATCTGATTGTATCCAGATGATCTATCTATAAAGGTGAATATTTCTTATGTCGACCAACAACATTGGATTTGGTAAAGGAAATTTGTCCTTTGGACAAGCCTTATTTAGAATTTTGAAATCTAAACTGACTCAAATTTAACTGCATTTCTTTTTTATTGGCGCTATGTTAACCAGCCATGTCGGGTATTTTTCTTCTTGAATAAAGCCGACGACGATTAATTTCTTAACTTCAACAATGACTTGTTGTTTTATTTAAACTCTCATTTGTCTTGGAGCTTGTTTAAATAGAATTGGATTTTGGTCCAATCCAAGTTTATGGACTACAACTTCTGGAGCGAGTCCAGACATTTCATCATAACTTCAAGTAAAGCAGTCTTTGTATTTTGTCAATAGATGAACTATTTCTTTTGTTTCAATTTCATTAAGGAATGAACTAATAAAAGTCAACTTCATATTTTCTTCCATTCTTAATTTTATTTCTTCCAGTTCATCTACTATTGATTTAATGTCTTCTTCAAATTATGGCGGCACATCTTTGATTGCAAGATCAGATGTTTGCTTAGAATCATGTCCTTTAGTGACAACTAGGCAAAACTATGTGTCATCTAGAGGTTTTAGGGTACCAAACCCAATGCCTTCTTTAGAGTTATGGTTTTGTTTGATTTCATTCAACAATTTTTCAAAATGATAAGACATATCTAATGTCCATTATTTATATATCAAACCATTTTGACTAAGTTTTAACCACACAGAATAAAGTTCGAAAGGGATTTTCAATGATTTCATAAGATTTTCTTCTTCAAGTTTTACATTTGTCTCAAAACGAGTAGATATAGAACCAAGGCGGAATTTAATAGGTTTTCTATTCTCACCATACACTTCATTGACCACTAAATTCTCAATTTTTTTATGGAGAAATTGGTGTTATGGTCATATTATGTATATAGTGATTACTTCATTCATACATGGACTCAAATTGTTCTCCTTTATCTTCTTTTTTAAGAGATACATTGAAATTTGGTTCTTTCAAAGTTATCAACATTTTCTTTTATTTTTCTTTTTCTTCTTCAAATTCCAAACTAACTTTGAACTTTGATGATTTCTTCAAGTCAATTGTTGGATTTTCCCTCTCTCGTCCTCATCCCCGACGTCGACCTCAGATGTGAGTCTGATGAGAGTTCTTATCCATCGTGGGTACAACAACAACAAAGCCTTAATCCCACTACGTGTGTATGTAAATATGAAACTCTAAACACAATATTAAGTAATAGAATACTTGATTAGCTAAAATATTATAAAATCTAATCATAAAAGATTATGTAAACTGTAAGCTGGGCAGCTACATACACCACATGAAGAAGCTTAGTAAAAAAAAAAGTTCTTATCTCTTTCACTGCATTGAGCTTTTCATATGTTGGGGCTGTAGATGGGTAACGTTCTCTGCTTATGTGCCTCCATTTTATAAATAATTCGCATGTTTTATCGTATTATTCTTCTGAGATTTTTTATATGCAGCTTGGAGATCTGTAAGCTCTTTGTTAACCTGATAGTTTCTTTTCAATTTTAATGAATGCTATGACCGAGACCGTTCTGCCATCTATTGGTCGTGTGCGGCTTACTGATTTGATAGCAGTTGAGGGGCTTCCTTCAGAATCATACAAAGTTTCTATATCAACGTTGACACAATCCCTTGCTCAGTATTCTGCTGCAATCATTCAGCTGCCCATTGCTGATGGTGCTCTTTTAAGATCCAGTCTTGAATCAGCCCGTCTTTTTTTTCACCAAAGAGCATACTCCCCTGCTGAGATGGCTCACACTAGTGACTCCCGTGAGTGGTGTAAGACCTCTGGTTATTATGCAGATCCTCAGTATTGGCAGGAGACTTATGATTATAGGCCAGGATTTACTTCAGCTGATTCAAATAGTTCTATGGAACTTCCTCCAGCTGGTTTGTCTGATATATTTGCATTGCTTGGAAAGGCTGCTCGACATATCTTGGATGCTATAAGTTTTTCTTTGAACTTACGCAGCTTCTCATTCACTGAAATTCTTGACAACGTTCCTCTAAGGGGTCGAGAAATATCTTCCTCAGTTCTTTCAGTATGCTGTCACTCAAGGCCTTCTTTCCAAGGTGCACAACACCATGCCTTAACTGCATCGGATGATGGACAATTGGTCATGTTCTCAGACCAAGAACACCATGTAGAAAAGAGTTTAATCACACTTGTCAAATCAGATAGGGCAGGCTTGCATATAAAGGACTTTCATGGTAGATGGTTACTTGTTGATGGGGACCTTGGTCCCCAAGATGCTCTTGTGTATCCCGGGCTTGCACTTTACCAGGCAACTGCTGGTTATGTAAGTCCAGCTTTTCACAGAACTGACGTAGGTAACATGGATGGCAATATGTACGGGCGTTGTTCTATTACTTTCAAGCTAATGCCAAAATCCATGGCGAGTTTCAATTGTTCAGAGATGAGAGCAGCAGGCCATGGTGTTGAAGCTCAATTTCAGCTACCCATTCCAGTTGATGACTTTATGCAAAGAACGCACCCTACAGATCAACTCCTCACAAAAAGTATTTTCCCAAGCTATAGTTTTCAGGCGGAACAAGATGGTAAATCTGCATCTTTTTTCTTTGCAAGTGAATTTGAATTTTCTATGCTTTGAGAGATTTGTTTGAGGCAGAAACTTCAGTACTTGTTTTTATCGTGAGTTTTTGTAGAATGGCATGCTTTGTTTCATAGAAAGTACCATTAAATCATTTTGAGTTTGTTTCAGATTGTCTTCATGAATCCTTACCATGTTAAACAGCTTGGAAACTTGTATTGAAGCGCTTCAACCATGAAAGTGATTTAATACTTTAGAATTACGGATTTTGGCAAACAAACTCTTAAGCTTTGCATTGAAATAATGCAAAATTTGTGTTTCTATGTAATTTATTTGATACATTTCCAAAATATCCATCTGAAAAGCATACTGGCGTAATATTTGAATTGCAAATTTTTGGATCTAAATTCAGGATCATCTAAATTCTAATTTTAATAAACTTATAGTCATAATGAATGTTTTAATAAGACACGCCTAATGATATGAAAATTATTTGATCCGAGTCTTAATGAGCTAACATAAACACTTGAAGCATACCTGTAAACTTATAGTTCTATTTGAGGGATTAGATGATTTTCTAAACTTGTGTATTTATAATCAAAATGAGTATCATGATGAGAGGAACAAACGAGCCGAAGACCACATATTATTTCTAATATAATTATGACATTTAAATGCCTATGGAATGGTCTAAGATTCAGGCTAAAATTCTAAATGCCACTTAGCAAAAGTGTAATTTGGGGACTTAAAAGTGGAGAGATATTAAAGATTTGAAAAATTTTAAAGCCGTGTATGACGAAAGATGCTGACAGTTACCATCACTAGGAACCATTGCCTGACTACTGTAATCCTACTGTCCTTACTTAAATGACATCACCCAATCACTGTAGACTTGCTATTATTGTTTAATGTTGTCGCTTGATTGTCGTTGCCTAATTGCTATCACCTAATGATTTTCTCTTGATCTCCATTGTTTGTTGATGACATTGATATCGGCCGACGGATGAGTGTCCTCCATTACTGCACATATTCTTTACTACATTTGTAAGAGGCTAAGCTAGCAATCCATATTTGTAATTTATTTTTCTTCATTTGAAGAAAATTAGATATCTATAATATTACTTATATTTTGGATTATTTCAACTAAGTCCGAATTTATGAATTTTTTATTTTCAAAATTTTTATGTAAAAATTATGGTCTCTATTAAATTTTTTTTTTCTATGTAAAAATTTGACTTTATGAATTTTGATTGTTTGGTTTTAGAGATCTCGGGTTTATTGTTTTGGGTCTATTGTTCAAAGTGATGGTGATATATATAGGGATGTTATTATAAGAATTCAAGTTGGATGGTTGAAGTGTCAGAATGCATCAGGCCTAGTGTGTGATAGAAAAGTACCACTTAGACTTAAAAAAAAAAAATTATAAGATGATGGTGAGACCTGTAGTGCTTAATGTGCTTAATGGTGCACTGTGTTGGCCTATAAAAGAGAAGCATAAAACTAAGTTTTGCTGAGACGAGAATGCTCAGGTGGATGAGTGACCTTACACTTTGAGACAACATGCGAAACAAATATATCCATTATAAGGTTGGTGTAGCTCTAGTGGCAGACAAGATTAGCTAAGGTTGTCCTAGATGGTTTGGTCTTCCTTTTTTGGATCTTGTTCAGTTTCTGATGGTCACATTACGTTTTTAGATTCTACTTATGATAAGAAAGCTAGAGGCAAACCTAAAAAGACCCAAGAAAGCTAGAGGCAAACCTAAAAAGACCCAAGAAAGCTAGAGGCAAACCTAAAAAGACCCGGACATGCTATATAAAAAGTGATCTTAATTTATTAGAATTAAATGAAAACATGACATTCAATAGGACGCAATGAGGAAAAGAGATTCATGCATCCGACCCCATTTAGTTGGATAAAAACTTGTTCTTTATTATTGTTGATGTGTTGATTGTTGTGCAATGTTGAGACAAGTAATCCTCATTTTTTTTTAATAAATTTCTCAACTTGCAACATTTCTTTCAGGTTTACTTTGTAAATCATATCAACTTTTCAATCCTTATTAGCTTTAAAATAAAATAAACCTGACCAGTAATATTGCATGTTGAGTAATTTGTGAAAATAAACTGATAATTATTTGTCTTAGCATTTAGTTTGTTTTATTATTTTGAAATAAGATGTTACATGAAAATTTTGAAATGTACTTGTATCCCTTATTAAATCTCTATCCTCCATTTGTCAAGGGAATTCATTAAAGATAACATGTGGGATTTTTTGATATTATCGCTTTGTTTCTTTCTTGAGCCTATCAATTCGTTGGATTTCCTTGCCATGGCTTTATATTATTTTTGAGTTATTTGATAAATCCATTCCAATTACTTATTTGTGGTCAGATTCATCTATCAACATGTCTGAATTTTTTTGATTGGCTTCCTTTTTTGGATCTTGTTCAGTTTCTGATTGAGCCTTTAATAATTTCTTCTTACTGAGCTCTTTGTTAACCTAGTCTTACTTCAAGTGACTTTGCTTTGTCACAACCTTTTATGATATTGTTTCACTTCAACAGTTTTTTTTATCCATAGGAACTCTTTTACAATTGGTCAAGTGAAATAATTTTTTGGTTTTGTGATTTTAAATATGGGTTATAGATATGTAAAAAAATAAAACAATTATTTGAATAAAATTTTAATTGGAAGTGTAACTTTCAAGATCTAGGTTATGCCAAACTTGGTATTTGAATGCAAAACAAACAAATAGAATCAAATTAAAAGAAGAAAATGATATAATAAAATCATAATAAAAGTGAAAAGCTAAACATAAGTACATGTAGTATTTCTTATGATACAATATGAGAAAAGATGTTTTTAGCTGAGATAATAGTTGAAGAGAAGATAGATTTGTGGCTTCTAGTAGAGAAGATTAAAAACATGTTGGGAGGGAATCAGGAGGGTTATGTTAGCTCGAGTGATGATTGAATTTGACTTGCAAGAAAAGATCAAATATGAAGAGATCTTGGGTTCTCATTTTAGACGAGGGTGGTTGCATTTGAAAATTAAGGAGAGCTCTATATATAATTTGGGATCTGGCTATGTTTGGCTCATTGAGGAGATTGAGACTCTAGAGTGGGTTAAGAATAGTAAAGTTAATCTAAAAAGTTTCACAACAAATGTTTTAACGTAATGCTTATAAATAAAAGAAAACATTAAAAAAACTACTCATCATCTCCATCATTCTGCAGCACAAATGTCATTGGCTGCTTGCCCTAACTATCTGCTAAGGTCTCCGCCATGCACGTTATAGGGTCATTGACTCTATATTGGCCTTGTAGTATTTGCCCGCGCAACTGGCGGATCTCCTCGTTCATTGCAGCAACCTACCTGGCAAGAGCCTCCTGGTCTGGCTGTGAGAAGCTCAGGGAACTAAGAACGGGACCACAGGAGAGCTCGGCCTCGAAGGCTATGCCCTTCACTCCAAGGCTATAAATCATCCCCTTCTTCCTCCCTACTGCCTGGGTCTAAAGCTTGTACTCGGACCGCGTGGTGGTAGACTGACTACCGCTGTTGCTGATGTTAGTCTGGGCTTGAGTGGCCAAGTGCCTCTCCGGAAGCTTTTCGAACTCCTCAATAATGAAAACCAACGTTCAAATGACACTTTCAAAAGTTAAAATAAACCTTTAATATAAGGTTTTTAACTTACAACAATCCGCATGGAATGCTCCGAGACCAACTATGCAGTCCTTGGGCGCGATGAATTCGGACATGCAGTTCCGCAACGGAGGGATCACGACTCAACTTCTTGGTGGATTTAGCGTATGAAAAATGGTTGACATTAAAAAATTACTTCAAAAATTGAATTAATATTTAAATACAACAACAACAACAACAACAAAGCCTTAATCCCACTACGTGGGGTCGGCTACATGAATCCTTTTTCTCCATTGCGTCCTATTTAGTGTCATATTTTCATTTAGTTCTAGTAAATTAAGATCATTTTTAATACAATAAGCCCAAGTCTTCCTAGGTCTACCTCTGCCTTTCTTAACACAAGTCAAATCTAAAACATCTACTCTCCTAATCGGATCATCTAATGGTCGACGTTTAATATGACCAAACCATCTAAGACGACTTTCTCTAATTTTGTCTGTCACAGGAGCTACACCAACCCTATCACGAATATATTCATTCCGCATTTTGTCTCTAAGTGTAAAGCCACTCATCCACCTAATCATTCTCATCTCAGCAACACTTAACTTATTATTATGCTTCTCTTTTAAAGGCCAACATTCAACGCCATAGAGCATTGCAGGTCTCACCACCATCTTATAAAATTTTCCTTTCAGTCTAAGC